CGCCGCAGCCAGCAGCGGTTTCGGTCGTGGTACGCCGCCGCCGCCGCCGGTCCTCGCCGACGCTTCTCGCGCGGTTCTTCGACAAAAGTTCGTGAACTTGATTGGCCGATCTTGTGTGGGCCGCAGGTGCGCGACACCGGATCGCCGATCGTCGAAAGGGAAACGAACGAGAGAGAGAAGGAGAGAGAGAGAAGCCCCTGACAACGAGAATCGTAAACGCCCAGCCGATTGTAAACAGAGTGACAGTCGCGTCTTCGCTCGATCTAGCTACTGGTATTTATACATGCGTGATTATTATTATTATTTTCTTTTTTTTTTCTCCCGTCAGTTCCATCCGGGGATCCTTCAGTCGTTTCCGGACACCGTGTAGAGTTAACGCGGAGTTGAATCCGATAGCCTCGACACGGTGGATTTTTTTGCAGTGTCGCGTTTCTTTTAAGCTTCCTCCGGGCCGGGTGTACTACCTAGTTTCCGTTTCGGATGATTGGAGGTTTGGAAATTTTGAATGCTCGAAGTTTTCATGGAGGGTTTTGCCGGCTTTCTCTCTCTCTCTCTCTCTCTCTCTCTCTCTCTCTCTCTCTCTCTCTCTCTCTCGAGATTTCTTTTGATAAAAAGTTTTATTTAATGTGAACTCGTTTTTCATTCATTTCATTCGCGTTTCTTACAATTGGAGGAAGATGTGGAAAAATTGTCACCGATGCGTGTGATCGTCACGTTGAAATAAGAACGTTCAGAGAAAATTCGAACGATCGAATGTTGCATACGAATTTTCTGAACGTGACAGATTTTTTTTACAAATTTTTTAAATTCGCATTTTACATGAAATATCACTGATGATCTTTGTCACGTAAATGTTACCTGCGCAAATCAAACAGACTAAAATATTAACCAACACGGGAGTGTTTTCACCTAACATGGGAATTGCAATGTATAATTCGTTCTACTCTTGGTGGATTTTTATCGACCTAGCAAAATTCGGAGCGGAAAAAGATGGAATGCGGAGATAGAGGGAATTAATTGTAACATAAATTAAACGCACGAGGAGGGGGAATTAACATCGTGGCCCGTTCTTTGTTCCACAAAACTAGGCTATTTTCAGCGTGTTATTGTTATTGGTGAGAAAAGAAATATCGGTCTCACGGATGAATTTTTCGCTGGTAATTTTCTATCGATTCTATCTATCACCCAAACTTATATCTCATTTGTTAGTGTATCACCCGGAAATCTGTAGAACGTATCTAAGTCGCAAAAATGTATGAAAGAATATTTCAGAAAGAAATACATAACAAGGTGAAACAATTTCATTTCATTTACGTTACTCCGAATAGACACTCTATATGTACACATTAGCAATAAACAACAGATTTTTCGAAAAATCAAGTGATTGAACATCGATTGACGTTAGAGATGTCTTTGACAGAATTTTCTGAACTCTCGTCGTATGAAATATTTCAGTATCTTTTAAATTTACAATGTTTAGTGTAATTAATTCTAATTTTATAAATATTTTACACAAAGAAATATTTTTCACGAAATTCCATACAAGACACATATACTTGCATGCGTCAACAAAAGTTCAGCACACTTTTTGTATTAATTAATTTTGTTACCATTTTCTGTCGCAGAAATACAAAATTTTCGTAACACTATGCAACATTAACGTATTAATATCGTAGGTTAATTGAAATAAAATGAATATCAAAGAATTTCAAATTACAAAAACAATTAGATAATGATATAAATAACGAACAACATGTGGTGCTTTATTATAATATATATTGAAAGTCAAATATTATACACAGACGAAAATGTAACAGTGTAAATTTCACGTGACAGTGTAAACTCAACGTGTCAATATTTGTAATACTATTCGTGCACAAACGTCTACAATTATCTACAATTCCACGACAGATATACTTGGAAGTTAATGTCAGTATATGTTTCTAATATCAATAATGATCTTGTAGAATATTTTAGTATATTTTAGTATATAGAATATAGAGTATAGAATATAGAATATATACTATGGAATATAGAGTATAGAGTATAGAATATAGAATATAAAATGTAAAATATAGGATACAGAATATAGAATATAAAATACAGAATATAGAATATAGAATATAGAATATGAAATACAGAGTATAGAATATAGAATAGAGAATAGAGAATATAGAGTAGAGAATAGAGAATATAAAATATAAAATATAAAATATACAATACAGAATATACAATATAAACTATAGAATATAGAATATAGAATATAAAGTATAGACTATAGAGTATAAAATAGGATAGGGTATAGAGTAGGGAATATAGAATATAAAATATAAAATATAGAGTGTAGAATATAAAATATAGAATATTGAATATTGAATATTGAAAATAGAATATAGAGTATAGAGTATAAAATATAGAAAATAGAGTACAGAATACGGAATATAAAATATAGAATATAGAGTACAGAGTATAGAGTATAGAGTATAGAGTATAGAATATAGAATATAGAATATAGAATATAGAATATAGAATATAGAATATAGAATATAGAATGTAGAATATAGAATATTACGTACAGAAAACGAACATCTTCGTCGTGGTACAAAATACACGCAAAAATATTTAAGTGACGTGTAAGCTCCAAGCCAATAGCTAATAAACCTTTTTAAATCTCACCACCGATCTAGCAGCAAGGTGCAGCGCTATATTTAGCGCGCGATTCGCGCCAACACCTTAAACGGTCATTTACATTTCCACCGATGAGAAATGTCGTACTCGTGCGAGTTTCTCAATCGCTGACAGCGAGTCTAACACGTTTTTCTTCGTCGCTAATTTCCATTAGAGGCTCGAACGATCCGCTTTTCATCCCGCGCGTCACACGTCCATTCATTCGTCAGGCTCGTCCCCTTGTCCCTTTCTCTCGCTGCTCATTGTTCTTTCGCGTCTTTGTAAATAATTGTTTCTACGATTATTGCTGTTCCTTGCGTGTACGTGAATCCGAGCACGATCGCAGGACGCAAAAATATTACACGCGCGTGGACAAATGATGGTCCGTGCCATTGACCGGGTAATTCATCAGCGCGTAAAAAGCGGGCACTGAATGTGTCAGTCCCGACGCAGGATTCAAGTCTTCTTGTTGTTCCGTGTCGCGTTAGTTACCACCTTCCTGGTACCACGTTCTTATCTGTCGTGAATAATCGAGACAAAAGACACGCGTGTGCTTTTGTCTGTGCGCGCGTTACGTCTGCGCTAGCATTACGTAAATTGTACGAGGATCGTGGTTTGGGAAATTTAGGCGAGCAAGTAGGTTTCACGAATTTTTGGGAAATTAAGAACTTCCCAGAAAACGAAGGAATTTCTATCGAAATTTAGAATTTTTTGAATTTCTGAGAGATTCCCTTTGAGAATTTAGAACTTTCGAAATTTATGGAATTTTTGAGGAGTTTCCTTCGAAATTTAGATATTTTGATACAATTGCAATTAGCTTTTATTTCTTTTGTCTAGTTTGGAAAATTTAAGCAAGCAGGTTTCACGAATTTTTGGAAAATCAAGAAATTCCCAGAAACGAAGGAATTTCTATCGAAATTTAGAATTTTCCGAATTTTTGAGAAATTTCCCTTGAAAATTTAGAACTTCAGAATTATTAAGGAATTTTCTTTGAAATTTAGATGTTTTGATTTTCATCTTTATTAATAAAATATCCGAGAAAACAAATTATTTTCCGACAATTGATTTTCAATTTCTTTCTCAACAGTTATTTACTTTGTAAAGTTATTCAAATCATATTTCGATGTTTCGAATTGTAAGAAAATATCGATAAGAAATATTAAAATTATACTTCCGTTTTATCAACAGAAATTTGTATCATAAAATAAATATTGGCAGCGATCAAAATAATTTCTAGATAAGTGTAGTAAATAATTTAAGCCCTCAGTATAATTAAAAGGTAAGAGAAAAATATTGTCCGAGTCTTTAACAAAAGGAAGGTGAACGATTTGCAGTAGATGGACGAACCTCTCTTTCTAGTCTCTGGTTCTTTCGCCATATGTGCAATAGCAGAGCTCTCTGAGTCATACTGTCGTGCCTCGGAGGTTCAGTCGTTAACGAGCAAAATTCAACAGCGGTTCATTAACGATCAGGAGTAAACACGTTCATTTACCTTGGTAGAATATTTATTTAGGATCGTAATTTGTCGATATATTTTGTGATAAAATCGGATAGACTAATTCCATTTTAATCAATTAATTATTTCCTAGGCACAAGTAAATCACAAAAATATAATATCAATCGCATGTATCCATCTGTATCTGTTACAAAATTTTCACGTCGCAATTTCATTAATTAATCAAGTAGAATGTAAATTCAGAACAGGAGAATTTATTAAATCGTAACCTTATTTCATATAAAGTAAGATCTATAATAAAACTCGCGAAGAATATACAAAATATAGATATTATATATTATTATTGTTTTTCTAAAAATCAAATTCACTTTTCGAGATATCTTAATTTTTTGAGAATTTTAACAATCTCTTTCAAAAAGAGACTAGAGAATGACGTCTTAAATCAGTAAACATCAATATATGTTTTCAAACGCACATGTTTCTCCAATGAATCATTAGCAGTATGAAATAATCCCACACGCATACTCGTACCCATTACATACGAAAAATGCTCGTTTACTTTCACCCTGTCGAAAGGATCGCCGACAGATACTCTGCTCCGAGACTCAAAGCAAATTTAAAAAAAAGGAAAACACAGTTTTTCTACATTTCTCTTCGCCGCAATCAACGCCCATACTCTTCGAAAAACCGATCAATTTCAAACTGTGTGCATAACCCGATAACGTCTCAATCGATACCGATAATTGTCACTAATAATAGCGATAAAGCCGCGATATCGCGGCGTTTTTTTTTTTTTTTTCTTCGGTCTCGAACTTATCGAGGAAACCAACCGATATCCGACCTAATCTGAATCTCATCCACGATACGTTTTCGAAAGGTTCTCGACGAAGAGGACGGTCGCACGCGAGGAGCTGCTGCGCCGAGGAGCTTCAGAGTTTTCAGACGTTGCACGTGATCGGCCGTGACGGAAGGCAGCACAGCCCAACGGGAAATCAGCCACAGGACCAGCCTTTGATCGACTACAGGCGACTGGTGTTCATCAGTTCTGACTCGTCCTCTGGCCGCGAGGAAGACGACGCCGACAGCAGTTGCTCAAGCTCCTCGTTCTTGAACGGGCTGCCACGTCCTGGCAGCCACGCGCAATCTCTGGAGGACTGTGACTGGGACTATTTCGAGAGCGGGTCCTTGCCTTTGCCAGCAGGCGTGCCAATCACCATCGGCACGAGCAACGTGGCCACGGAGACCAGCGCTGGCCAGGACTGGAGTTGCTGTCCTGGTCGTGGTTCCACCGCTTGCCAGGTGCGTTAGGTTTCGTGATTATTGAATTTATACGATTTCTTTGTACGATTCCTTTTTACGAGGAACGGTTGCAGAATTTTTTTGTAGGTGATAGGATTTTTGGCGAATGGTTCTAGAAATTTTATGAATGGTTGGATAAATGAGAAACTGAATAACTTGATTGCATAAATGAATCATTGTATTATAATCTATGGTTGTAGAAGTTTTGTAGGTGACAGGATTTTTATGAATTGTAGAATTTTTATGGATGGGTAAATAAGAAATTGAATTGGGAAGTGAATGACTTGATTGCATAAATAAATTATTATATTATAATCTATGGTTGTAGAATTTTTGTACGTTTTGTGAATGGTTGTAGAATTTTTATGGATGGTTGAATAAATGAGAAATTAAATTAGGAAATGAATGACTTGATTTCATAAATTTATGATTGTAGAATTTTTGTAGGTGATAAGATTTTTGCGAATGGTTCTAGAAATTTTATGAATGGTTGGATAAATGAGAAACTGAATGACTTGATTGCATAAAAGAATCATTATATTATAATCTATGGTTGTAGAAGTTTTGTAGGTGACAGGATTTTTATGAATTGTAGAATTTTTATGGATGGTTGGGTAAATAAGAAATTGAATTGGGAAGTGAATGACTTGATTGCATAAATAAATTATTATATTATAATCTGTGGTTGTAGAATTTTTGTACGTTTTGTGAATGGTTGTAGAATTTTTATGGATGGTTGAATAAATGAGAAATTAAATTAGGAAATGAATGACTTGATTTCATAAATTTATGATTGTAGAATTTTTGTAGGTGATAAGATTTTTGCGAATGGTTGTAGAAATTTTATGAATGTTGGATAAATGAGAAACTGAATGACTTGATTGCATAAATGAATCATTATATTATAATTTATGGTTGTAGAAGTTTTGTAGGTGACAGGATTTTTATGAATTGTAGAATTTTTATGGACGGTTGGGTAAATAAGAAATTGAATTGGGAAGTGAATGACTTGAT